AGGGAAGGTGGTCAAAGAGCTAGCCACTGAGTTCGTGTCAGAGACAGTCTCTGTTCCCCTTACTAAGAAACTCATTTGGATACTGAGCTGCCATGGGCTACATTGAGCAGGAGTTCTAAGAAGGAGAAACGTAAGGTTTTTTTAAAAACTCCATTCAAAGAAAAATTTAAAATGCTCATACACACACACATACTGTATAAGGAAGGAAAAAGTATGATTAATGAAATGCCTGAAGAAATAGCATTTAAAATACGTTCTCACTCACTGTTTTGACTTTGCCCCCCATTTCTCTTACTCTTAACTGTTCTGGCAAAATAAAAATAAAAATAATAATAATAATAATAATAATAATAATAATAATAATATTTAAAACTGGAGTTCTGCTTCCCTTAGCAGATGGTGATGATGAAGACAGATAGGTCCCATTTCTACAATGGTGTTTTAAGCAGGAGTGTTAATTCACAGTAAACCCTCAAGGGATGATTGGAGGAACTAGATGCAGTGTGTGGAAAAAATCTCCAGAGACTAGAATATAATCCCAAATCGACATCTCTCAGTACAGTATTCAATGAATCATAGGGGGCCTTTGCAGAATGGTAAATTAGCCCAAGTATTTTAAAGATGTATAAGATAGGTGTCTTACTTAGGGTTTCCATTGCTGTGGGAAAACACCCTGACCAAAATCAACTTATGGACAAAAGGATTCATTTTATCTTACAGCTTACTGTGCAACATGGAGGGAAGTCAGGGCAGGAACCTGGAGGCAGGAGCTGATGTAGAGTCCATGGAGAAGTGCTGCTTACTGGCTTGCTCCTCATAGCTTGCTTAGCCTGCTCTCTTGAAGCAACCAGGAACACTTAACTAGCCTAAGGGTAGGGTAATCAGCCCAAGGGTGGCACCAACAGGAGTCACTAATTAAGAAAATGCCTTACGGCAGGAATTCTCAACCTTCCTAATGCTGTAACCCTTTAATACAATAACTCATATTGTGGTGATCCCAACCATGAAATTATTTTCCTTACTACTTCATAACTCTAATTTTGCTACTGTATGAATAGTTTTTAAAATTTTTTATTATTATCATTTATTACAATTTATTCTACTTGTATCCTGGCTATGGATCCCTCCCTCATCTCCTCCCAATCCCACCCTCACTCTATGCCCCTCCCCTAGTCCAGTGATACAGGAGGTCCTCCTTCCCTTCTATTTGACTCTAACCTATCAGGTCTCATCAGGACTGGTTGCATTGTCTTCCTCTATGGCCTGGAAAGATTGCACCCCCAGGGAGAGGTTATAAGAAATCCTGCCACTGAGTTCATACCAGAGAAAGTCCCTGCTCCTCTTACTAGGGACCCCACTTGGAGACTGGGTATATGGGCTACATTTGAGCCAGAGTTTTAGGACCTCTTCATGCATTGTCCTTGTTAGGATATCATTCCCTTCAGAGCACCCAGAGCTCAGTTTTTATGGCTCTGTTAGTCCCCTTTTGGAGCTCCTGCCCCCTCCAGGTATTTCTGTCTCCCCCTTTTTTCATAAGATTCCCCATACACTGCCCAAAGTTTGGCTATGAGAATCAGCCTCTCCTTTGATACCTCGATCAGTAGAGTCTTTCAGAGGTTGTCTGTGGTTCTTCCGGATGTATCTTCATCCCTGATCTCAGTATGTACTATAAAGAAATAGTAATAAAAACTGCCTGGTACTGGAATAGAAATAGAATGATGAATCAATGGAATCAAATAGAAGACCCAGAAATAAACCCACACACCTACGAATAGTTGATTTTTGACAAAGAAGCCAAAACAATACAATAGGAAAAAATAACATCTTCAACAAATGGTGTTGGTCCAACTGGAGGTGTACATATAGAAAAATGAAATAGCTTAATTTTTATCATCCTGCACAAAACTAAAGTCTAAGTGAATTAAAGACTTCTTCAAACCAGACACACTAAAGCTGTTAGAAGAAAAAGTGGAGAAGAGCTTTGAACGCATTGGCACAGGAGACAACTTCCTGAACAGAACACCAACAGCACAGGCTCAATAAATGGGACCTTATGAAACTGAAAAGCTTCTATAAAACAAAGGCAACTATCTGTCGTCAGGACAAAATGACAGCCTACAGACTGGAAAAGGATCTTAACCAACCCTACTATTATGAGTTGTAATGAAATATTTTTGAAGAGAGGTTTGACAAAGGGGTTGCGGTCCAAAGGTTGAAAAACACTGTCCTACAGGATTGCCTACAGCCAATTCTTATAGAGACATTTTTTCAGTTGAGAGTCCCTCTTTCCCAAATGAGTCTAGGTTATGCAAAGTTGACATAAAAATAGCCAGTACACACCTGATCTTTGACAAAGATGCCAAAACCATACAATGGAAAAAAGATAGCATCTTCAAAAAATGGTGCTGGTCTAACTGAATGTCTACATGTAGAAAAATGCAAATAGATACATACTTATCACCCTGCACAAAACTAAAGTCCAAGTGGATCAAAGACCTTAACATAAAACCAGACACATTAAATCGGTTAGAAGAAAAAGCGACGAAGACCCTAGAACTCATTGGTACAGGAGACAACTTTCTGAAGAGAACACCAAGCTCTTAGAGCACAGGCTCTAAGAGTAACAATTAATGAATGGGACCTCATGAAACTGAAAAGCTTCTGTAAAGCAAAGGACACCATCATCAAAACAAAACGACTGCCAACAGATTGGGAAAGAATCTTCACCAACCCTTTATCTGACAGAGGGCTTATATCCAGTATATATAAAGAAATAAAGAAGCTGAAAAGCAGCAAACCAAGTAATCTAATTAAAAAATGGGGAAAAAAGTTAAACAGAGAACTCTCTGTAGAGGAATATAGAATGGCAGAGAAACACTTAAAGAAATGCTCAATGTCATTAACCATTAGGGAAATGCAAATCAAAACGACCCTAAGATTTCACCTTACACCCATCAGAATGGCTAAGATGAAAAACTCAAGTGACAACACATGCTGGAGAGGTTGTGGAGAAAGGGGAACCCTCCTCCACTGCTGGTGGGAATGTAAACTTGTACAACCACTTTGGAAATCAATCTGGCACTTTCTCAGGCAACTAGGAATAGCACTTCCCCAATATCCAGCTATACCACTCCTAGGCATAAAATCAAAAGAGGCTCAATTACACAATAAGGACATTTGCTCAACCATGTTTGTAGCAGCTTTAGTTGTAATAGCCAGAAGCTGGAAACAACCCAGATGCCCCTCAACTGAAGAATGGATGCAGAAATTGTGGTACATCTACACAATGGAGTACTACTCTGCAATGAAAAATAAGGAAATCATGAAATTTGCAGGTAAATGGTGGGACCTGGAAAGGATCATCCTGACTGAGCTGTCCCAGAAGCAGAAAGACACACATGGTATATACACACTCATATAGACATATAACATAGGATAAACCTACTAAAATCTGTACATCTAAAGAAACTAATCAAGAGAGAGGACCCTGACTAAAACGCTCAATCCCCATCCCAAAAGGCAAAGAGGATGGACATCAGAAGAAGAAGAAAACAGAAAACAAGCTAGGAACCTGATACAGAGGACCTCTGAAAGGCTCTGCCCTGCAGACTATCAAAGCAGACACTGAGAGTTATGGCCAACTGTTGGGCAGAGTGCATGGAATCTTATGTAAGAAGTAGGAAATTGTAAGAGCTGGAGAGGACAGGAACCCCACAAGGAGAGCAACAGAACCAGAAAATTTAAACACGGGGTCTTCCCAGAGTCATACTCCAACCAAGTATCAGGCATGGAGATATCCTAGAAACCCTGCACAGATGTAGCCCGTGGCAGTTTAGTGTCCAAGTGGGTTTCATAGCAATGGGAAGAGGGACTGCCTCTGACATAATCTGATTGGCCTGCTCGTTGATCACGTCCCCCTGAGGGGGTGCAGCCTCACCAGGCCACAGAAGATGACAATGCAGCCACTCCTGATGTGATCTAATAGACTAAGATCAGATGGAAGGAGAGGAGGACCTCTCCTATCAGTGGACTTGGGGAAGGAAGGTGCGATCAGGAGGGGAGGAGGGAGGGGCTTACTGGGGATACGAAATGAATAAAGTGTAATTAATAAGAAAATAAAATTATATATCAAATAAATAGCTAGTACAGTAGATCAGGCAGGCTAAACTATGAGATTCAGATGTATTAAAATATTTTCCTTTCCTTTTTTTTTTCTTTCCATATTGCCCCTGAATTTCAGTATGTAGCTAAGGATGATCTTGAACTTCAGCTCCTCTTCCTACCACCACCCGCGTTCTGAGATTACAGGCATGTAACACCATTCTCAGTTTTATGTGGTGCTACGAAACAAAAGGAAGCTAGGCACACATTCTACAAAATGACCTATGTCCCCAGCCCAGCACTTTCAGTTTAATGATATTTTCAACAGTGGGTTAAGTAGGATATAACTTCATCACCATTTGAGGGTCATATGTAATAAATTCCTAATTTATCAGCTTTTAAGTTCCTATCACCATGTTATTTATCTCTCATATGATTTGATTTGTTGGGTCTTTTTAAAAGGTTACTTCTCTATATGTTAAATGAGTATCAATTCTTTCAAAAAGTTTATTACATCCATTGTGTGGTAGATTTGTGCTCCTGCGCTCCATGGCATGAATGGGAGTCAGTTCTCTCCTTCTACTGTATGGGTATTGGGGATCAAACGCAGGTTGTCAGGCTTGTCAGCAAGCACCTTTAGCCACCCAACCATCTCAACAGCCCATGGATTCTTAACTACTAAAGAATTAAGAGAAGGGAACTAATATAGGATGGAATATAATCTCCCTTTTAAATCTTCCTCTTATGATTTTGGAGTCCTAAAATACCATTGAATAACTTGTTCAAAATATGATGCTATGGAAAAATTAACTAGACAACACATTTTAAAATATTACTTTTAGCTTGCTGCGTGTCTCCTCTGTCTCTCTTCTAACTCCTTTTTTCTTTTCACTCCACAGTGACTGTTTTGAGCCCAGAAGAGAAAGGTAAGTGTGTATTGTGAACTGTGATGGTTAAGAATGTATCATGTATCCTTTTCTTTGTTAAATTATATAAAGTCTATAAGCTGAGTAACTTTACCAAAACTGTGCTTGGTTCATTAGAACATTTAGGATGATTTCTTAAAAGGAAGCTTACTCAGAAATACAGCAAAACACATTTTCAGTAGCCCTTTTGGCTATGACAGTTAGAAATTAGCAAGATTCATTGTAATTTCTTTCATAGTGACCATAAGCTCTTTCTTGTTTTTTATTGTCCTAGCTACCTGGCCTTTTCTCCTAATCCATCCCCTCTGTAAGTCATAGAGTAAGGGCCCCACAGGCCTTGACCATGACAGTTCCTGTGTGTTCTTCTGTTCCTCTCAACAGATCATCACCATTTTAGCTTAATCTGCAATTAAAAAAAAAACTTAGGTACTTTGCATTTAAAACATGTTAGCTAATCATGAGTCTTCATGAACAATTAACTTTATATTATTTTATCAGTAAGATCCAGAGTATGTATGGAAGTAGTTTATAGTGTCACTTTTATTTCTTATCTTCTGCAAGTTTTTTGTTAGAATTCATTGACCTTTACAGCATCCTCATTTAGAAGGTCAAACAGGCTAGACAACGGAAGTAGGAGAAGACAAGGAACAGGGGAGGAGCCTTCCACATAGGGCCTCTGAAAGGCTCTACCCACCAGAGTATCAAAGGAGTTACTGAGACTCATAACCAAACTTTAGGCAGAGTGCCAGAATCCTTATGGAAGAAAAGAGAGATATTAAGACCTGGAGGGGACAGGAACTCCACCAGGAGAACAACAGAGACAAAATACTTGGGCCCAAGGAGGCCCGCAGAGACAGATACCCCAACCAAGGTCTATGCATGGAGAGGACCTAGATGTCCTGTTTAAAGCAAGCCTATAGGCTGCTCACTTTCCTAATGGTTCCCTAGTAAGGGGTCAAGGGTTGTTTCTGACATGAACTCAGTGGCCAGCTCTTTGATCACCCCCCCAGGGGGGGGAATGAAGCCTTGCCAGGCCAAAGAGGAATATGATGCAGCCAGCCTTGATGAGACTTGATAGGCTAGTGTCAGAAAGAAGGGGAGGAGGTTCTCCTCTATCATGGGACTAGAGAAGGGGCATTGGGGTGTAAGAAGGAGGGAGAGTGGGACTGGGAGGAGTGGAAGGATGGGGCTACAGCCTGGATACAAAGGGAATAAACTGTAATAAGCAAATAAGCAAATAGATAGATAGATAGATAGATAGATAGATAGATAGATAGATAGATAGATA